CAGGTAATTTTAAATTTTCTTTTCTGATGTAAGTTTTATAGGTAGACAGAGATAAAATAGTTACAGTCTACCTATGAACTGATAATAATCTTTCTTGATCTCAACTGAAGAAATGATTGTTGCTGGGCATGGTAGCACATGCCTGTAATCCCAGCACTCAGGAGGCTGAGGCAGGAGGATTGCCATGAGTTCAAGGCCATCTTGGACTAAGTGAGACCCGGTCTCCAAACAAACAAAGCCAGGTGTGTTGGTACACGCTTGTCTCAAAAAACAAACGAAACCAATTGTTAACAGGTGAAGTTAATATTAATTATGTAGAGGAAATCTAGGAGGATAGAGCCTGACACACTTTGTGGACCATGAACAACATGTAGAAATTTGACATTTGGAACAGAGATTATTAGTTGAGAATGATTTGGCAGTACATTGAAAATTACAAAATGACCAGATCCACAGTGTCTGTTTACTGTCTATGCCATATTTTAAACCATAAATCCTCCTTTTAGATTGAGATTGTTCTCCTAGAATTTTTTGGGGGGGTGTTAGGGATCCTACCTAGGACCTCGCACAAGCCCTCTACCCCTCTCTAGCCCCTGCCCTCTCCTAGGATTCACTATTTTGGAGAAGATATGAATGGAGATGATTTTTTTTTTTTTTTTTTTTTTGAGACAGGGTTTCACTATGTAGTGCGACTGACCTGGAACTCACTGTGTAGCCCAGACAGGTCTCAAACTCACAGCAATCCTCCTACCTCAGCCTCCTGAGTGCTGGGATTACAGGCGTGCACCACCATACCTGGCTCTATGAATAGAGATGATTTTGGTGAACTTTTTTGTTTTCTTTTGCAGAAATGGACTGTAGAAGAAAGTGAATGGGTCAAAGCCGGAGTGCAGAAATATGGGGAAGGAAACTGGGCTGCCATTTCTAAAAATTACCCATTTGTTAACCGAACAGCTGTGATGATCAAGGATCGTTGGCGGACCATGAAAAAACTTGGCATGAACTGAAACAGGCTTTCATTTCAACAGAACTCCCAGGAGCATGGTTCCTAACAATAGTCCCTGATAGTCTGCTGTTTCAGAAGCTGAGATGGGATGAATATTTGGGGCAGCCTCCTTCCATGTGGGAGAGCTCCCAGGTCCACTTCATTGTTGGAGATCATGGAGCTAAGAGCTAAGAAGCAAAGCCAAGCCAGCCCCATGTCCTTGGCAGAGATGACAGGCACACAGCTTGTACAGTGCCAGAATATCATTAGTGTTTCCCTCCTTTAGTGATTTGCTTAATCTTAAATCTTCAATAATCTATAGAACCTTCTTCTAAGAAATGGTGGAGTCTATTAGGAGCCACTTCTTACTCCATGACCTGTTAAACCAGCATCATGAGCATTATCTGGAGTGAACTTGGTCCTTGTAAAGTTCTGGCCTTCTGACACAAATGCAAAGGAACTCATCTATTCTGAGCCCGAGTTGAGAGAGAGAACAGTCTCTGTGGAATCAGATTCCTTTTAAAAAGTGTTTACCCACTTGTGACATCAACCCTAGACCTGACCACCTTGGCACTTGCCCTTAATGTGTGCTGGGCTACACAGGCAGGTTTAACCTCCGCTTCTCATGTGGTTGAACCAGTGTGTTTTTTGGTAAAATGGTGATTGTAGATAAGCTTAGCCCCCATCCCACCCCAGGCCCCTAACTCCTTTCTTGGTTTTCTTCCTTATGCTGGACTTTTAAAGCTTAAAAAAGAATCCTGATTGAATATCAATGCCTAATTCCATTCTTTGTGAAATGGTTGCTTCCACCTAATTCCCTAATTGTGCTGTGTTAGTGTCTTGCACTGGAATTCAACATTCCCTTCTCCTTTTGTACTGTGTTGTGCTTGCTGTCTCTCTCAGACATCCTTAAAGACTGTCTTTTTAGCAGAAAATTTCAGTAAAGTGTTTTCTGTAATCTTTTTTTTTAATATGGGAACTAATTATTGTCCATACTTGTAGCATTCTTCATTAAAGTCTTGCTTCTCTCAAATGTAAGTACCTGTTGGGTTGCAGCATAGCACGTTTTCAGATGGAAGCGGCACAATGCTAAACAAACTGCTGAACTATGTCGACCAAGAAACTGCTGTTAAACTGTACTAGATGTTCTAATCCTTGCAAGCCTTGTTAAACATAGTATCGAAATTTCCTCTTAGTTTGTCCACTTCCTTATATAACCACCTTTTTCTGGGACAAAAGAATTACTTTCTTTTTTGAGTGAGTAAAAGGCAAGGCTTAAAGTTATGCTAAAGCTTTAAAATGTATCCTTTAGTTACAAGTTGGAAACTTTACACAGCTTTATTTTCTACCAAGTTTTGAAGTGTGATACTCTTCATCAGCCACCCCCAAGAAGTCCCAGAGGGAAGTGAGAACTTGGCCTCCTCTCAGTCCAGCTGTTCCACTTGCTTATACCTGGCTGTAGTCTCCTTCCCAACAAGACCTGAGTCCAGATGCTGACCTCCCCTCAACTCACACCATTTGGTGGTTCTCTCAAGGCAGAAGGGTGAAACTGATACATCAAGGGAAGCAAAATATCCTGTCAGTGTTTGCCAAGCTCGACAGTGAATAGGTCCACTAACATTTTTTTCACACAACTTCAGTGTTATTTTTATTCCAGTGTAACTGAAATGTGTATGTAGAACTATGCTTATGGTTTCTGTAGAATGGTAAAACTTCCCACGAACGGATTAGCTGCAGCAGTTGCTTCTGAGTGCACTGCGGCGGCAGTGGGCTCGAGTGGGAAGTCCTGTGTCGTGCTGTATCAAGAGGTCCCAGGCTCTCCCGCATTCATTCAGGAAGACAGCTGCAGGGCCACCAAGCCTGCGAAGTGCTGGGATGCCATTGTCCTTGGCTGGAACTGAAACACACTTTAGAAGTCTGTCTTCTGCTTATTAGTTGTGACACGTGGAATTGATGCAATGAAGAAGCATTTCTTGATTAGAAGATAACAAGTGGACCTTCGAGTTACAACCACTCTGACATACAAACAATTTGGGTTATAGCCAGAATTTTAGTTTTAACTTACGAACAAAGTCTTGAGTTACGATCCAAATGCTAGATGCTTGTGCTTTCAGGTGGTCTCAGATACAGATTTAACCCTTAAAGCATGCTGGAAGGAACATGGCAGCATCCTTTCCTGTGTGGGGTTAACTGAGAAATCCTGGGTCGGTGTCTCTCTAAGGACACTGAGATCTGCCTGTGTACAGGAGACAGACTTTGAAGGCTGTGTACAGGAGCCTGGGCCTTCAACTGACCAACTTGAGTTACACTCAGCCCTCAAGAATGAACTGAGTTCGTAAGTCAAGGGTCCACTGTACTAATGCAGTTTTTTATTTGCCTGTTTTTCTTTTTTAAGGCTGTGGTAGGAGGACCGACCATGGTGGTGCACAGGTGTAATTCCAGCACTCAGGAAGCTGAGGCAGGAGGATTGCCTCGAGTTTTGAGGCCAGCCTGGGCTACATAGTGAGTTTAAGGCCACTCTGAATTATATAGTGAGACCCTGTTTTTTGTTTATTTAAAGATTGATTGAAATAAAAATGTTTTAGACATTAGGACTCAGAGACTTATAGTTTAGACTGAGACCCCAGGCTGGGAATGGGATTAATGCCTGTAATCCCGGCACACTGGGAGGCTGAGACAGGATGATCATAAATTCAAGCTCAGCCTGGAACAATGAGTAAAACCTGCCTCAGAGAAGATCGGAGGTTCTGGGTGTGGTGGCGCGTACCTGTAGTGCCAGCACTAGAGAGGGTGAGGCAAAAGGATCACTGAGTTTGAGGACAGCCTGGGCTACATAGTGAGAACCCTGTCGAAAAAAAAAAAAAAGTCTGAGGATGTAGCTTAGTGTGAAAGCCATGGGTTCAATCCCCACTATTACAGAAAAATAACAGGACACTAGCTCTGTCAAGTGCTTGTGGGACTACAAGTAAGTCACTTTAGTCTGAATGTTAACTGTCCTCACCTCTGACACAGTAGATCCCATTACCTCCCATGTAGTGCTGTAGTGAGAATAAGATGTAAGATGCAGATAGAGACTTCTTAACTCGGTGCCTGCCAGTCAGTGGGCGTTGATGTCATGAAAGAACAAAGATTGAGAGTTTGAACAATATAATAGTCTTCAAGTGTGTTCCAGATGGCTTTTCTTTCCCTCTGTGGGTGCTGAATAAAAAAGCCTGAGGGTTTGAACAGGTTTTGAATAGCTTTTTATTATTATTTATTTTTATGGATAACTTTAGATGAATGTTTTAGGTAGAAGTTGACAGAAACCAGGGGGGCAGTCAGTGGAGGGGGCTTTAAACTTCGTGCAATAGTTATATGTTATGGTTTGCTCTAAGCCAAACTGTGCAGAAATTTATTGAAATAGTTGTTGCCACAGGTACTTTATAGTCACAACAGGCATTACCTATCAATTTGATATGAGAAAAATTTCCCCAGCTAACTTGTTAGTATATTCAGATGGCTGTAAATGAATTTACCTGACATTTAGGGCCCCCCCCGAAACAAGAATGAAAAATAGAATCCAAATACTAGATGTAGATCTCTTTTCCTAATTAGTACACTCTACCTTTGAGCACTCATGGAATAGGTTTGGTAAGCCACTGAGTTTTTAGCTTTTTTGTTTTGGGTACACAGCTACATCTCCTGCCCTTTTCAACATTATAAAATTGTGAGGGCTGGGGATTCAGCTCAGTGATTCCACTGCCTGCCTTGCAAGTGCAAGGACTGGAGTTCGATCCCCAGTACAAAAAAAAAAAAAACAAACTTTTTTTTTGAGACAGGGTCTTGTTAAACTGCTCAGGCTGGGCTTGAACTGGTAATCCTCCTGCCTCAGCCTCCCAGAGCGCTTCCATACCTCCCATAGGTATGCCAAGCTACTGAGTTTTTTAGGTAAAAGCAAAATTTTCCTATTAGTTGGGCATAGGTCCCATTGCAGTTCTATTATGGAATATCCATGCATGGCCCTGAATTGGCCTACATGTGATTTGCAAAGTTAATGATTAGCCCCGCAGATGTCTGAGCTACTTAATTTCCCAGAGGCTGCAAGTAGTTCATCTGCAGAGGAGGCTACAGAAAGCAGCATGTCCCCTTTACTCCTTGGGGCTGGGCTGGTGGTTCTGCATGTAGTGACATCTGCTAGGAGCCAGAAGACAGAAACTTTAAGTGGCTCTGGGAACCAGCTGCTCTTCCATGAGGCCGATAGCCATGACTTCGCCATCATGATCCTTCCAAGGGGCACAGAATGCTTTTGGCAGTTTGCCCACCAAAATGGATACTTCTTTTTCAACTATGAGGTATGTAGAGTCATACTTGGGGATTTTTTTTTTCCTTTTGTAAAGTTACTCAGGTTTAGACAAAACCAAGGTCTGGTCGTTAACGCTGTGATTCCCATCTCTGAATCAAGTGTGGACCAACAACAGAATCTCCAACATATGGCCTGGCCTCTCAGACTGGGCCCTACCGACATTTGCTCAAAGCCATGGGACAAACAGTACCTCTCTCTGGAGTGATAACCATGAGAACTACTTGGGTTTGAGGAGAAGAGAAAGGATACACTTTTAAAATATTTGTTTTAAATATGGACACAGTACAAATTCATAAAAAAAAAATAAGAACTTTGAAGATGGGCACAGAGATTGTATGAAAGCTGTTTTCATGGATGGGGGGCCACATCTGCTCTCCTATCTTTAGAGGTAATTCTGGCACATTGGAGAGATGCTCTGGCTCAAGGCTTTTCTGTGAACCAGACAAACCCACAGTATTTCCTTTAGGAAGATAAATGTTTTAAGTTTTTCTGTTCATTGAAGTAATTTCATTAAACTGTACTACCCAAGGATAGTGATTCAGAGGCTGTTCCCTTCCTTTGTTAACTTTATCTTTCTAACTCTGCTAACTTTCCAGTTTTTGTTTACATAGTAATAGACTAAGTTGGGCTTACTCCACTCCACTGTAATTTAAAATTTATTTATTTAGGTACCAGGGATCGAACTCGAGACCTTGTACTTGTGAGGCAGGTGGTGGAACCAGAGCTAAATCCTTGGCCCTTAAAATTTGAGAGCTTTTTCTTATCTCTGAATCTTATCAGCACAGTAGCTACTAGTCAGCTCACTGTACCTTGGGCTTATCAAGATCCAGCTCAGAGACAAATGTCTATGGAATGCCTATTAATAAATGAGGGCTGCCAAGTAAGCACATGCCCAAATCTGAGGGCTCACCACCAGAAAGCTCAATAACCAAGCAAGTTCAGCCAAGATCTTTATAGGCAGAAGCATACAGATCAACTGATCCATACCAGCTGTGCGGTTGGACATGTCTTCCTCCTCAGGAGAGGAGCTCTTGGCATTTTGGGTGATTGTCGGGGGGCTTTTGTACTGACTCTGACATTGCAGAATACTGAGCGTTGATGTGGCTACCCCATAATGCGGTTAGTGTTAAGTGTTAGGCCTCCTCAATTCCAAACTCCCCACAAGAGGGGTGGGTGGGTAGATAGTATCATTCCAGACTCAGAACTCTGCTGAGAATTGTGGGCCATCAATCTTATCACCTAAGGGCCAGGGATTTAGCTCAGTGGTTCTGCCGCCTGCCTCAAGAGCGCAGTCTTGAGTTCAATCCCTAGTACCAAAAAAAAAAAGTATCACCTAGCTAGCTTCTTGGTGATGTAGCAAGGCCTTCTGCCCTCCTTACTGTGTCTTGGCAGGTTCACCGGATACTTGGGATGTCACACGACCGGCACGTTACTGCCACAGCGCATACTCCGCAGGGTTTCCTCATAGAAACCTCCCAGGATGTTTGGGGCCAGATTAACTTCTCTACCCAAGAGACAGGTCTGTTTTCATCCCCAGGACTAATGTAATAATCAGGTTTTTGTGAAATTTGGGCTATAATGAAGTACTGTACAGAGATGGTGAAATGGAAGGAGATTTCAGTGCCCAAACACAGTATTGCTGGACAGCGCTGCAGAACCTGAAGCAGCAGCCCGATAAGTGCATTTTGAGGAGAGGGTCTCAGGTGACTAACTCCTCAATCTTAGCTCATCTCCAACTGACTCTAAGGAAGTGACTAAAACGGAGACCAAGCCACAACACAGACTTCTCAATAACAAACTTATGGGGCAGCATTTCTTTCCAGTCATCAGAATACTTAGGCCAGTTACTAAAGCAGATTTCAAACAAAAGGAAATGCATAGCCTTGTAAGAAACACACCCCACAGCAGGGCCCTTCTCCAGCTTGAAAATTCCCACAGCCAGGTAAAGCCTGCCCCACTTAGGACAGCACCAGTCGGAGCTGCCCTCTTTAAAGATGTTCTCAGCAGAAGCATGAGACAATCCTTCACTGGGTAGTACAGGATTATCTGTTCAGAATTAATGGATGTTTGGCATCTTTGGCTCCCACCAGCCAGTAGTGCCTTCCAATCATTTTAATTAATTAATTAACTTCGGATGCTGGGGATTGCACTCAGGACCTTTTGCTTTTGAGCCAGGTGCGGAGCTAAATCCCAGGCCCCATTTTAACTTTCAATAACTGTCACACTGTTCTAGCCCCTACCCCATGCAAGCATACACACAAAGGAAGATCAGTCCAGTCTAAAATAGCACAAATAGAGCCCAGGATTTAGCTAAGTGGTTCCAGCGCCTGCCTCGCAAACTCAAGAACGTGAGTTCCATCCCTGGTACCAATAAATAAATAAATAAATAAATAAAATAGCACAAATAGGAGCACCAAACCATGAGTAGTGCACTGGACAGGCTGTTTTGTGGGCAGTTATTTCAGGAGGGCAGTTTCTTTTATTTGGTGTATCCCCACCCCACCCAAGTTTCAAGTTCAAGATGGTGTCCACAGCTGGGTGCAATGGCAAATACCTGTAATCCCAGCTGTCAGGCTGAGGCAGGAGGACAAGTTTGAGGTCAGCCCAGGAAACAGGAGATCCTATCTTCAAATAATAAGAGAGCTGTGGATATAGCTCAGCAGTCCCTGGGTTCAGTCCTCAATAACACACACATACACACAATCCCCAACCCTAATGTTGTACAAGGAGCAGGCAAATTCTATCTTATTTTCAACACAAATCTGTGGAGCAGAACAGCCTTAACAAGAGACAGGGGAATTACAGATTGGAAGGGGGAGAATAGTTTTCCACCCAGCACAGAACTAAAGTTACTGATATTATTAGTAATTTTTTTTTTTTTGAGACAGTCTTTTTATTTTTCAGGAAGTGTATTTGTGTTTGTTTGTTTTTCTGGAACTGGGGATCGAACTCGGGTCCTTTCACTTGCAAAGCAGGCACTGGAACCACTGAGCTAAATCCCCAGCCCGAGACAGTCTTTTTTTTTTTTAATAATTACTTGTTTTTATTTTCTTTTGCACTTACATGGTTTTCTTTTGTTTGTTTTTTTGAGACAGTGTCTTGCTATGTAGTTTAGGCTGGCCTTAAACTAGCAGCAGTCCTCCTGACTCTGCCTCCCAAGTCCTAGGATTACAGGCATGAGCCTGGCTCTATTAGTGATATTTATTAAAATAAGTTTCAGATAAAATCAGTGTCCTCCATGTTAAAGAGGGATCTTTGTACTTCCTAAGTAAAAAGGAGCTGTAATAGCAATTTTATTTATTTAGGTACCAGGGATCGAACTCGGGTCCTTGTGCTTGCAAGCCAGGTGGCAGAACCACTAAACTAAATCCCCGGCCCCTGTAATAGCAATTTTAAAGCTGGGAGCCAGATGTGGTGGTGCACACCTGTAATCCCAGCACTCTGGAGGCTGAGGGAGGAGGATTTTGAGTTCACAGCCAACATAGGCTACACAGTGAGTTTCAAGGCTAACCTGTACTTCGTAGTGAGACCTTGTATCAACCCCAACTCCCCCAGAAAAAAAGCTGGGGAACAGATATCTTTGGGAAAACCTTAAAATAGGGTGGGAGAGCTGGGCGTGGTGCCACACACCTGTGATCCCAACACTCAGGAGGCTGAGGCAGAAGGCTCATCACGAGTTTGTGGCCAGCCTAGGCTGAATTGAAAGCCAGCCTGGACTACATAGTGAGATACTGAAAAAGAAAGAAAAGTAGGTAGGTGGGAGACCAAAGGTTCACTAATGATCTAAGAATTCCTACAGGTTACTATCAGCTTTGTTTAAGTTACAGGTTACTATCAGCTTTGTTTAAGAAATCATCAAAATCACTTTAGTTCTCTGCAAGTCTACCTCAACTTTGGAGTCTTCTACGAGGGGCCTGAGATAGACCACAGAAAGAATCAAAGAAAACAGCTGAATGATACCCTAGACGCAATTGAGGTAATGTTTGTCAGAGAGACACATCCATGGGAACTAATTTTACATTTGGATAAAGATTAAAAATTGCAGGGAAGAGGGCTGGGGATTTAGCTCAGTGGTGGTGCTGCCTGCCTTGCAAGTACAAGATCTTGAGTTCAGGCCAGGGATGTAGCTCAGTGGTGCCACTCCTGCCTGGCAAGTGCAAGGTCCTGAGTTTGATCCCCAGTACTGAGGAAATTAAAAAAAAAAAAAAGATGATAAAAGATTCTGAGTTCAATCCCAGGTTAAAAAAAAATGGAAGGGGAAAGGAAAAAAAAAAGGATTGAAATTGTTATGTACAGGTACCAATCCCTGCCATGAATGCAATCATTGTGTATTATAAACATGTACTGTCCAAAAAAAATTTTTAAAAAGATTAAAAATTATGGGAGAAATATCCTTTGAGGGCTTATATGGGTAAAATCCAAACAGGCAAGGGAATTTGAATCCTTTAATTTTTTTTTTTTTTTTCTGAAACAGTGTCTATGTAATTCAGGCTGGCCTTGAACTCACTGCAATCTTTCTACCTCAGCGTCCACAGTGCTGGGATTACAGCTGTGTGTCAACAAGCCAGCATCCTTTCATAAATTTTTATGTCTTGAAGGTCTTAGAATTCATCCTATTTCATATCACGACCCAGAAAATTACAGCTCACTAGCCAAATCCGGCCCACTGCCTTTCTCTTTCTTTCTTTCTTGAGAGATTTAATTCATATACCACACAATATACTAACTTCAAATAATTCAATGGTTTTTAGTATATTCGCATGGCTATATAGCCTTTCTAGCATCTAATCCAGTGTAATTTTATCACCCCTGAAAGAAACCCTGTACCTAACAGTCACGCTCCATTCCCCCATGATGCTCCAGCCCTGACAATCACTATTCCATTTTCCTTCTATAGGTTAACCTTTTCAATACATTTTAGATTATATTATACATGGGGCCTTTCATAATCAGTATTTTCCACTTAGCATGTTAAGGTTTACCCAAGTATCAGTATTTTATGCCTTCTTGTGGCTGAAAAACATTATACTGTATGAACATTTTTATATATCCACTCATCAGCTGATAGGCATTTTGTTATTTCCATTTTTGTTGTTTCCACAACATAGGGTTGTTTCTACAGCAGTAATCACAAGGCTGCTGTAAATAATTGTATATAAGCTCTTGTGTTGGTTGTTTCTGTATTCCTAAAAGTGGAATTGCGGGTCATTTGCTGTTTGACTTTCTGAGGAGCTGCCAGACTGTTTTCCATAGTGGCTAAACGATTTCAGAGTCCTATCAGCGGTGTAAGAGGGTTTGAATCACTCCACACTGTGATATTTGTTGACTGAAGGTGTCCTAGTGGGTATGAAGTGGTATTTTATGGTGAGTTACATTTCTCTAACGATTAATGGTAACCATCTTTTCATGTTCTTATTATTTGTATACCTTTACCTTTGTGGGAAATGTCTGCTGAAATCCTTTGGCCATTTCAAAATTGGGTTTTTAGAGGGCCGGGAATTTAGCTCAGGGGTGCAACTACTTGCCTTGCCAAGTGGAAGGTTCCGAGTTCAATTCCCTGAACCACAAAAAGAAAAAATTGGGTCTAAGGCTGCGGGGGATGGCATTTGGGTCAGTGATATAGGACTTACCCTGGTATGTTTTTTTTTTTTTGGTATGGGGGCCGAACTTGGGACCTTGTGCTTGCCAGGCAGGTGGCACCGAGCTAAATCCCCAGCCCACCCTGGGTTTTTTTTAAGGCAGGGCCTTGCTTTGTAATTCAGGCTAGCCCTGAACTATGTAACCTCAAACTTGCAATGATCTTCCTGCCCCATTCTCCCCAGTGATGGGATTACAGGCATGTGCTACGATGCCTGGCTGCCCTGGGTTTGATTCTCAGACCTTCCCCTCAAAAAAATTAATGTAGAGTTGTTTTATTTATATGTTCTGGATAAATCCCGTACCAGATATATTTGCAGATATTCTTTTCTAATTCTGTGGGATATCTTTTTACTTTTTCCTTGGTGCACAAACGCTCACTGCCTGTTTATAAAACAAATTTTACTGGAACACAGCCATGGCCATCTGACAATCTACTGTCTCTGGCTGCTTTTGTGCTACAATGGCACATCTTAGTAGCTGCAAGAGACAGTAGGACCTGCAAAACCTAAGATATTTACTATTTGTCCCTTTAATAATAAAAGCCTGCAGACAGAAGTCATCGCCTAGGGCCAGGGATTTAGCTCAGTGCTGCCACCTGCTGGGCAAGCACAAGGACCTGAGTTTGATCCCCAATACCAAAAAAAAAAAAAGAAGGCATCACCTAAAGGGTAACAAAGTGAATTCATGTCTAAAGCTAGGATCTTCTGGAAAAGGTTTCCAGTGTAAACACTAGTTTTTCATTATTAAAAACAAAAACTTGTTATTATGACATATGGTCGTAATCCCAGCTACTAGGGAGGCTGTGAAAGAGGGAGCCTCAGGAGGAACCAAATTTGAGATGAGCCCGGGGCAACTTAGTGAGACCCTGTCTCAAAATAAAAAAGTAAAAAACAAAAAAAAAAAAGTAAAAAAAGGCTGAGGGTGTAGTTCATTGGTAGAGCATTTGGTGAATATATGCAAGGTCCTGGGTGGTTCAATCCCCATTACCAAGAAAAGAACACACTTTTTGGGCTAGGAGCTTATCTTAGTAGTAGAGCACTTGCTTAGTATTTGTGAAGCAAAGGTCATTTTGGCTTTGCTAGGGACTGAATCCAGGGCCTTACACAACCTAGGCAATCTACCACTGAGATACATCACCAGCCAAAATATTAACTTTCAACAACTGCTATAGTATTAAATGTAGATTAGTGGTGCTGACTGCTAAGATGAGGACAGATGTAGGCAGACATCTTTATTTTCTCTTCCCACAGGAGAGTACACGAAGGGTACAGACCAATGTCTTTCATATGTGGCGATTCTACAACTTTGCTCGGATGAGGAAGATGGCTGATTTTTTCCTTCTTCTATCAAACTATAACTATGTGAACTGGTGGTCAACAGCCCAGAGCCTTGTTATTGTTCTTTCTGGGATCTTGCAGCTATATTTCTTGAAGCGTCTCTTCAATGTTCCAACAACAACTGACACAAAAAAGCCAAGATGCTAAGCTGACTATAGCATCTGGGCTATCTGCTGGAGTAACAGCTTTGTTAAAGGTTTGGTTAACTCAACTTTGCAAGATTAGAAAAATTAAATTTATTGTGCTTATTAACAATGGTAAAATGGCAATAAATGCCATAAAAATGTAAAAGTTTTCAGACTGGCTATATCTAAAGTATGTATTAACATGTTCCTGCTGGCTTGATCCACCGGTTGTACAAAGAGGCCCAGCAGCAAGACATAGAAATTACTGCCCCATTCTAAATGTGTTAAAAACATAAGATTAAAATACTGTTTATCATATAGTAGTCCCTTAGCCTCCACTGATTCCACTTAAGGGAAAATCGAAAGCCCTGGGAGGGAAAATTGAAAAAGGAGGGACAAAATCAAATTTGCTTGGAGAGAATAACAAGAGTTAGCAGAATGCCTTTTTGTAGTTGAAAACATTTTATTTTTAAAGATGTAAACTTCTGAATTAAAAATAATATATAGTATATATCTAAGAAATTGCTTTGTTTTAAAATACAGGTAGTTTGAAAAACTTTTGGCAGTGAAATATCTTTTAAAAATGTTTTGTAAATTCTAAAATACTTTAGGGAAGCATGGGGAAGGATGAAGGAGCTAAACTAAAATTTCATGGTCTCTAGTGCTTTTGGTTCAGTCTGGTAATGTAAAGTGGGGTTCATAGGAGAAATCACATTTTATGAAATCAAAGTGATGAAAAGAGCACTTTAGCCTGGAATCACCCCATCCATGAAAAAAAGACCATAAAAAATATCATGTAAAAAACAAAACAATATAATCATATTACACTAAGATCCTACACTTAGTAATAGAAATATGTAATATAAAACTAGCTCTTACCATTTATTCAACACCTACCATTTGCTATGCATTGTAGTAGATGCTTTACAATCATGATTTCTGATCCTAAAAACTACTCCCCTAGACTGATGGTTAAAGGTATGTTTTTAATAGAAAAAGAAAATGCTTATTAAAGTTGGATGACTCCTCCAACACCACAGAGCAGGGAGGAGGAAGAACTACAGTTTGAATGCAAAATTTTTTTCCACACCTATAACACTTACTGTATGGAAAAACAGGTGAAAAAATGGCACTAATAGAGGCAAATTCTTACCATGAGTCTAGAAAACAAGATGTTATCACAGATAACAATGATAAGCTATTCTTATCCTCGGTTCCAATGATTTAGAACCTATCATTCAGAACAAGAAACCCTCTGATTCAAATATAAAAATGATTAAAGGGGCTGGGTATTTAGCTCAGTGGTTCCACTGCCTGCCTTGCAAGCACAATGAACCCGAGTTCAATCACTGGTACCAAAAAAAAACATTAAAATATAGAATAAGAGTATTCTATTTAGTCACAAATAGAAAGATTTGAAACCATTTCTGAGGCATTTCTGTATAGTAAGAATCCAGCCTGCACTTTTTAGTGACAGAGTATTAAACTAAGAAGTCCTTGTAGAGGTCACAGTGTTGACAAAATTCCACATGATGGAAGCATCTGCAGAGACACAGGAAACAAAGCTAGGCCCTTCCACACAGCTGTTAAATTCTTGACGACTTCATTTTAAGTCAGTGTCTCTTCATGCCGTATGTATTCCCCAACGTCTGCTTGATGAAAAACCACAATCGCCATGGGGTCTACTTTCCTACAGTCTTGTGTAGACTTTGCTGCTACCCCAAAACCCTGGGATTCAAAAGAAGAAAGACTAATTCACTCAAGTCATTCAATAAGCCCAAGTTGAGGGTTGGAGATAATAAAGATGAAAAATACAGTTCTTGTCTTTGAGAAATTCAAAAGGCACTGAGAAGTTAGTCTTTGAGGCACACAGACTTAAAATATATGCTTCAGGTTAGAAAAAAAAAAAAAAAAGTACTTGTCTTTGTAACACTGCCATCTCTACTCACCAAAGGGATGTCTGCCATGGAGTACACCACCACTCCCTGGTACTGAGAAGTATTTTCAGTGATCCGACCCAGACCAGATTTCAGTACATGGTTGCCGTACAGGAAGGACTGTTCTGCTCCAGGCTTTATCCACACTTTATACTATAAGAAAGAGAAAACCCAAGAGACAAAAAAAAAAAAAAAAAAAAAAAAAAAAAAAAGCTTAGTTATATCTCTGTACATGGTCCTGTGATATTAATTTCTAAAAAGAATTTGGTGAGAAAGAAGGGAGACAGCGAGAGAGATAGGTAGACACTTTCCCCTTAAAACAGTTCATCCCCTGACCAGAACCGCCATGAAGTTTCCTCAGCTTTACAATTCTTCCACGGAGAGTCTTAAGAGGACTTTGCCTGGACCCCCCCCCCCGTATCCTCCCTCCTTACTGCCATTCACCTGCTTTCTGCTCTGATCCTGAGCTGCATGGCACTCCCACCCCACAGCGAGCGGCAAGACCTAGAAACTTCCCCTTGTGCGGACCCTGCACAGTCGAGGTCTCCGTGTTCAAGCTGTCGGCTTCTCACCCTTGACTTCTTCCCCGGTGGCAAAGGGGAACCACCCCACAAACCTTGGCATAAGGTGCCAGATAATCCAGAGCCGTAATGTGCAGCCGAAACTTGTGGGTCTTGGTGAATTTTCCAAAGCAGGTCCCCAGCGACACCAGCTTGTCCCCGGAGATATTAGCGGACAGCTTCAGCATCTTCTCACTAAAAGGGTGACGGGCAGCAAGGATTCGAATGAGGGAGGCTGACAGGACCCAGGCTTCCTCCACCCGGTCCACGCTGCTTCCTGCCCCACCTCACCTCACGTAGTACACCCGGTCGTTGTGCAGCCTAAAACAGTAGGTGCCGTCGGGCCTGTCAACCAGCAGCTGAAGATTCTCCCCGATGCTGAGGGCAAAAAAGGGGTGGAGGCTGGGCCCGAACTGACTCGTCTCGACCGCACATCCGACTTCCGCCCACTCCCCCCCCCACTCCCTCGTCCTCCCCGCGCTCCTACTATTTTGCGATTTTCTCAAACATCACACGGGTCTCCTCTTCAGTTAAAGGCCGCATCTTCCCGCTAGGTCGGAACGCCGGATCCTCGTGCCTCAGTGACCGGAAGCGGAAGTTGGGCTCCAGCTACTCCTTGGCAACCCCCAAGCCTGCCTCTCTAGCGCCAATGAGGTCGCTGCTCACGCTAGCGGCCCCTGGTGGGGAGGACCGCCGGGGAAAGAGAGCCGGCCAGACAAGAAATCCTAAGAGACAGGAACTGTCCCAGCTGCTTCCGGCCCTCGGTGCGGGGCAGCGCCCTCTTCAGTCTGGAGGGGACGTGACGCTGTTGCCGGGAAGATGGCGGCGGCGGCGGCGACTCTCCCGTCCTCAACGGCGGCATCAGCCACAGCGACAGCCACGTCAGCGGCTCTCGGAGAGGTGGAAGATGAAGGGCTCTTGGCGTCTCTGTTCCGTGACCGCTTCCCCGAGGCCCAGTGGCGGGAACGGCCTGATGTGGGCCGCTACCTCCGGGAACTGAGCGGCTCGGGGCTGGAGCGGCTGCGGCGCGAGCCCGAGCGCCTGGCGGAGGAGCGGGCGCAGCTGCTACAGCAGACGCGCGACTTGGCCTTCGCCAACTACAAGACCTTCATCCGTGGCGCCGAGTGTACCGAGCGCATCCACCGCCTCTTCGGCGATGTGGAGGCGTCACTTGGCCGCCTGCTCGACCGCTTGCCCAGCTTCCAGCAGAGCTGCAGGTGCGGTGGTCAGCGGCAAAGGGGCGTCTAACTGTGATAACTATCACTTAGGGTGATAGAAATAGCTAACACGTAGCGCATACCGTGTGCAAGGGTCGCCTCAGCCTTCGAGGTAGGTACGCCCCGAGTTACGGATGAGGAAGCTGAGACACATGGAGGCTAGTGACTTGCCCGAGAACCTCGCTAGTAAGTTTCCAAGTCAAAATTGAAACCTAGCTGGGCATGGTGTAGCACACATGTAGCCCATCCCTCGGGAGGCCGAGGCAGGAGTATTGAACCGAGCTCGAGGCCAGCCTGCACTAACTACAGAGTGAGATCTGATAAAAATAAATAAAAAGGAACCTAGGAGCTCGCCCCTGTCTCTAGGGCTGTTGTACTAAATAAAAAGAATCCACTCCACATACACCGAGTCTAACATAGTTCACACTATAAAGGTCAAGGATATATATCAGACCTGAGATTATCTGCTTCAGGATTTCCACTGATAGGAAGCTGACAGGGAAATTCTGCTATTGAGGGATAGCAAAAATCAGAAAGACTGTAGAGCCGGGCGTGGTGGTGCACACCTGTAATCCGGGAGGCTGAGGCAGGAGGATCGCTGTGAGTTCCAGAACAGCCTGAGCTACATAGTGAGTTCCAGGTCAGTCTCCTCTATATTGTGAGACCCTGTCTCAAAAAAAAAAGTTAAAAAAAAAAAAAAAAAAAAAAAAAAAAAAAAAAAGACTTTCTGTAGATCCTCAGTTCAGTTTCCTTGTTCCCACCATCCTACCTTTAATTATTCCAGTTTAATTTTTAGTTTGAGCCTTTAATATTTGACCACTGATTTTTATACTTTCCATGACCCAAAATAGGGGATTTCATAAAGCAGGTCTTTGCAGTTACTATAGAGAAGAAACGGGGAAAGTAGCAGGCGAACTAAGGCTGAACAGTAGATAGGTTAAAACCTGAGGGAACTTGGGGCAAGGGTAGTTAGTGCTTTATTATGAAAATGATAATAGCTTTTTAAAAAATGTTTTTATATCGAGACAATTTTACTGTGTAGTTTGTGCTGGCCTTGAACTTATTGTGTAGCCCAAGCTGGCCTTGAACTTGCGATGATCCTCTTGCCTGAGCCTCTCAAATTCTGAGATTGCAGGGGTGCAAAGCCATGCCCAGGTAGTAATTTTTGTTTGGTGGGTTGGTTGGTTGGTTTTTTCGAGACAGGGTCTCTCTATATAGTTGAGACTGACTTGGAACTCACTATGTAGTCCAGGCTGGTCTGGAACTCACAGTGATCCTCCTGCCTCGGCCTCCTGAATGCTGGGATTACAGGCACGCGCCACGACACCAGGCTGGTAATAATTATTTTAAGGGAACATTTTACCTGGGTCTCTCACTCTGACACTTTTGCTTTGCATCATGTCCTATATTAAATGCTTCACATGCATCATCTCAGTTTACCCTCACATCCTTATGGGGTCCTATTACTATTTTACCAATGAGGGAATCAGTCTAGAGAGGCTAATACTGTGCCACAGCTAGTTAGTCCCACTAGTCCCACTTCACGAAAGTGCAGCAGTCCATGCAGCTGATTGAGATCTGTCAGTTTATTATTACTGGTGTGATCTTGAACAAGCTGCTTAACCTTCTGGGATCACAAGTTTCCTCTTGATGTAGTGGCATATCCTTGTAATCCCAGTGGTTTGGGAGGCTGAGGTAGGAAGATCACAAGTTTGAGCCAAGCCTGGGCAACTTAGTGATTTAATGAGAACATTTCTCAAATAAAGGAAGAGAGGCCTGGGGATGTAACTAAGTAGAAAGGTCTTGGGTTCAATGCTTTATACAGCCAAAAAAGAAAAAAAAAATTTCTCATGTGTAATAGCACTAATAGCTGTGTTGTGAAAATTAAATAAGGTAAACCTCAGCGGAGAGCCCACTTCACAGTAAGTGCTGGGTGACTGGCTGTGGTTTGGGTGCAGGGCAGTAAGGTACCAGTGTTTTCCTGATTGCTTCTAGGAATTTTGTGAAGGAAGCTGAGGAGATCAGTTCCAACCGCCGGATGAACACCTTGACTCTAAACCGGCACACAGAAATCCTGGAAATTCTCGAGATTCCTCAACTCATGGACACATGCGTCCGGAACAGCTACTATGAAGAGGCCCTAGAGCTTGCAGCTTATGTTCGCCGGCTAGAAAGAAAATACTCCACCATCCCTGTCATCCAGGTAGCCACGTCAGTGTTCTTGGAATCATTCAGTGGTGGTTATCAAATTTTTAGGTAGAAACCTTTGCATGTTTAACATCACTTTCTTCCAGTTAAGCAGGCTTGAACCGAAAACATGAATTCATTCATAAATTTACTTATTCAAAGGTTCAGATTAATCATGTGCAGGCACTGATGTAGATGCTGGGGTGACACAGAGGTCAAGTTGTGGCTTTCATGAGGCTTCCCTTTTTGTGGAGGTCTGATAATTGACAAATAAATAATATGATCATTTCAGCTAGTGGTAATTATCTGAAGAAAATAAACCGGGGAATGGGGTGGAGAAAGACCAAGATGGGCTCCTGTGGTAGCATGGTTAAAAAAAGCCATTCTAGGGCCAGGGATTTAGCTCAGTGGTGCTGCTTCCTGCCTCAAAAGCATAAGGTCCAGAGTTCAAACCCTGGTACCAAAAAAAAAAAA